GTTCTCCGAACTCGTTGCGGCAGCAGGTGGGTCAAGATGGATGCGGAATGCGAACGCGTTGGCAAGACACGCGAAAGAGAACGCAAGACTCTTCCGAAGGCACCATGGCTCCGAAATACAAACAAAAACATCACCATCACCAACACCAACACCATCACCATCACCATCACCATCACCAACCACCATTCACCGTTCACCATAACAATTACCATCACCACCACCACCACCACCACCACCATCAGATTCGCCCCTTCTCCTCATATCGTCCTGCTCCTCCTGCTTCACATCCGCATCATATTTCTCCTCATCATGTCCTCCGCACCTCCCTTCCCCTCATCCCTTGCTCATATTCCTTCCCCTACTTCTCCTTGTGAGGCATCCTCGAAGAGCCCCGCCGACGGTGCCGCCGGACCCAGACCTTGACCGAAGTGACGTTGGCCAGCACAGTCTTCACGTAGCCGCATCTCACGTTCTCCGCATCCTGGATGTCCCGTCGGGAGGATACGACGACACACACAGACACACAGACACTCACACACACACACAAACACAAACAGACACACACACACACAGACACACACAGACGCACACACACACACACACACGCACACACACAGACACACACACAGACGCACACACACACGCACACACGACACACACCACATACATACACACACACACAACACACACAGACACAAAACACCCCCCCCACACACACACACACACACACACACACACACACACACACACACACACACACACACACACACACACACGAACACGCACACGCACACGCACACACATGCAACAACGAACACACACACATACACACACATACACACACGCACACATTCATGTGTTCGGCGGTAGCGGCCTCGCGCCCAGCGGCGAGGCGGAGAAAGTGCAACAGTCAGCACAGCGCTCGCGGCAGCCAGGCCCCACACACACACACACACACACACACACACACACACACACACATACACACACATACACACATACACACATACACACATACACACACAAACACCCATTTCGTGGTCTGGTAGGGAGTCCCACCTAAGGTCCCAGTGGCAGGGCTCGCGCGGCACCCCCGCCCCATCTTGGCATACCCTTCACGCGTTTCGGGGTAGCCGAGGGGCACTACGGGGCCAAGTCAGGCGCGCACACACAGGAGGCGGAGGAGGAGGAACACACATCCCATCGGCGTGCTCCTTTCACCTCGGCGCGACGGCACGTAGACGCGCATCCCCATCCCGCTGTGCGAGGCAGCGAGCTTGCTGCAGTCCTGCAGGCAGGAGTGCAGCAAAGCAAGTGCAACCATGCTCAATGTGATCGGAGGGGGACTGATGGAGCAGAACTCCGTCCAGAGGATCATTCTGGAATGCTTTAGGGTCGGCCGCGGTAGGGCGGAACATATGGAGAAGAGCTCGAGGGCAGCTGAGATAATGAAGTCGGCATCCCAAACGACACCTGCGGGTCCCTAATCAGAACCTTCAGGAAGTGCTGGAAAGGTTGGCGACAATCTTTCTTATGTCTACCCACCAGAAGAAGACTAGGGGCCGAACGGGCCGACTCGTTAAAGTCAAACTTAGCATTCCAGGCTTGTTTCACCGAGGAGGCAGAATAACAAATTCGAAATCGGCACATCAGGATCTTCCGAAGAGGTCCACCCGTAGACGTGTCCTCCAGGGCGTTCGAATATGTCCTCTTGATAATTTTCTGGGCCGAATCCTGGACCCTCGTCATATTGGAATTGCCAACGTCCTGATCTTGTGCATGACATTCACGGTGAAGCTGTTCCCCAAAAGACCAGAGGACAGATCAGCGGGAACGAATATCGTCCTCCTGCTGGAGGTCCTCCAAGCATTCTTCGAACATCTTAAGAGCCCCACTCCTTGCAAAAACCCGAAACATAGCGACCTGGACTTCTGCTTCGAGGCCACCCAACTCCACCAGGCAACTCACAACTTTCACATCACCATGGGCGTTGGTGGGCAATCCGTTTCGGGAAGCTCGGGTGACATTCTGGGTCTGGGCCCTGTTTGAATAGCCGGGACAATATAGAACAGCGTCGACATGGGCACACTGCTAAGGGCAACAAATGTTTACTGGAGATCTTGGCACAACCCGTCAAAATGGCGTCATCGCTCTAGCACCGTTTGAAAGCGGACCGTCCCATGACATGCCGAAGCTCCTGTCCACAGGAAAACCGCGTAATAGCGCCCATGACTGGACATCGAAACCTGCGAGAGAGCGTGATCCACCGCCGCTTTACTGTGGAAAATTGCCCACCTCTTCCTCCGGAACCCGGGGGTCCCCCCCCCCTCCGAAAATCCCTCCCCCCTGCTGGACCCCCCCCCCTCCCACTTCCCCTGGCAAAACCCCCCCCTCCCTAACCCCTCCCCCCCCCCCTCGAAAACCAGGGGGGGGTCACTACCGGTTCGAACCCCCCCCCCCCTCGGAAAACCAGAGGGGGGGTCACTACCGGTTCGAACCCCTCCCCACCCACCCCACTCACCGCCAGCAAACGACTCCCGGTCCCTACCACCGTCCGCATCACATCCCCCAATGTTGTTCCCAGCACCACTGTCCTCACCACCACTGTCCCCGCTGGTTCCACCACCGTCCCTACTGTCCCCACCAGTGCTCCCACCACTGTCGCACTGTCCCCACTGTCCCCACCACTGTTCCCACCGTGGTTCCACTCTCCCCACTTTCTCCACGTCCCCAACCACTGCCCGACTATCCCCACTGTCCCAACTGTCCCACTGACTCCTCCGCTGTCCCGTTGAGCTGTCCCACTGTTCCCACCACTGTCCCCGCTGTCCCCACCGCTGTCCCCACTGTACCTCTGTCCCATTGTCCCACCGCCGTCCTCGCCACCGCCTTCACCACTGTCCCTACCACCACTGTGCACTCCACTGCCCCACTGTTTCCACCTCATTCCCACTGTCCCCACACCACTGTCCCCACCACCACCGTCCCCACCACTGTCCACTGTCCCCACTGTTCCCACCATTGTCCTCACCACTGTCCCCACCACTACCGTCCCCACCACTGTCCCACTGTCCCCACCACTGTCCCGGGTCCCCTCACCACTGTCCCCACCACCACCGTCCCCACCACTGGTCGGTTTTCGAGGGGGGGGGGGGGGGGGTGAACCATGGTAGTGACCCCCCCCCGTTTTCCGACCTGATGCGCTGGGGGGGGGGGGGTTCGAACGGGTAGTGACCCCCCCTGGTTTTCCGGAGATGGGGGGGGGAGGGGTTCGAACCGGTAGTGACCCCCCCCCCCGGTTTTCCGCCAGCAGCGGTAGAACACGCTCTTTCAAACCTGCCGATGTCGAGCGCCAGCACCTTTCGGTGCTCTTTTTGGGTGTCGGATCGGTCTCCCTGTGACGGCTTCGGTCGTGCATAATTGCGTGCTTCGCGTTTGTGACTGGCCACGCGGCTACAGCGATGTCCTTGAGCGAACGCAGCATCACTACCACTAAGGAGGGAAACTGCGCACAAGAGAAGCCCAAGTCGTCGGCGAATGCCGAGATCAGATGGGCAGGCCTTGATCGAACGCAACGCGCCCGCCTGACTGCGATCAGTGTTTACCCCCCCCCCCCCAAAAAAAAAGGTGGAAATAATATCTATATATATATAAATATCTGTTCGACGCCCTTATTGACGGACTGGGCCCACCAGTGTTGGAACATGACGATTTCTCCGCGGCACCCGCCGCACAGCGACGACGACGACAAGATGCAAGGGGAGATTGTGAGACACGCCTTCGGCGAAGAACGTGTCGACCTGCATTGCATTCCTCTGACAAACGTGCTCAACATTCCTCTGTCGTGCAGGGTAGCCCAAGGGATTAGTCCCTGGGGGAAACGACACCCCAACATTATCCAGCCCACCCAACAATGCAGGGAAGTAATCTCCGCCGAGACGACGACGAGGGGAAGGAGGAGGAGGAGGAAGACGAGGAGGAGGAGGCGGAGGAGGACGAGGAGGAGGAGGGGGAGGAGGACGAGGACCAGTGTAAACCCAATAGTCATCAATGATGATCGACTAAACCTTCCCACCAAGCTCCCTCTTCACAGGCCCCAACAACGACTCATTTCCACTGAGGGAGCTGCCTCGTTGGCAGACACCCGTTTGAAGAACATGAAGCATGCCAAAACATTATTCTCGGGATTCCAATGCCACGGATCAACCTGCTTGCTTCGTCTTGAAGATCCTGAATCGCGCCAGAAAGCCGTTCCTGGAACTTCAACACCGTGAATCGACGTAACTGTTGCACCCTCATCATCTTGAATCCTTCAAAAACACAATTTCTGGCACGTTGGTCATGGGAATCCGTGAAGCCCTGGCACATGTTAAAAACGAATATGCGCGGCGCTAAGGCGACAGTCACAATTTGAAAAGGAACGCCCGCCCTGCCCATCCCGCCCGAAAAACTGGCCTCGGGGTGAAGATTTACAAAGGTTACTAGAAGGGTATATGGCTAGAGCGAAGATGAAGCATTCATCGGACGCCCCTGTTTGATCCCGCTATGCACGGGACGACGACGCCGACGACGCCGACGCCGACGCCGACGACGACGACGACAACGGCAGCGACGACGCCGACGCCGACGCCGACGACGACGCCGCCGCCGCCGACGACGACGACGCCGACGCCGACACCGACGCCGACGTCGACAGCGACGACCGACGACGACGACGGCGACGACAGCAGTAAGTACTCCCCCAAGGCGTGCTGAAAGCCTAGCAGGCAGGCCCACCGAGGCCAACAGCACGAATACCCTGGCGTGGAGCTGCGGGGCGGAAAAGTCGGGAGCGGCCAAGAGGTGGGTGTCCAAGAGGGGGGGTGCAAATCATGACCGTCGGCATGTGCGCGGACCAGTTGGGGGGACCAGGGACGTAATGAAATAAGAATGGGCGCCATGAAATCTGGGGAAATATCATGGCCCACGCCATGATATCCACCGCCCCCTAGTCATCACCCCCCTCTCTTCCGCCCCCGAAGAAGGGGGGGCCTGGGAGTGCTTCTGCGTGCCCGGGCTCCTGGAGCCCTCCCCGGAGGCCCCGTGCTCGGGAGAAGAGGCCGGTCCCAAAGCCCCAGGGGCCAGGGCCCGTCTCGACCGGGGCTCCTTTCGGCTACACGCAAGAGTGACCCTGGGTAAGAGTGACCTTTGGTGCGCGGCTTTTTGGGGGGGCGCGGGGATGCCAAACACAAGGGCGCAAAGCGCTGATGTCGCAACGAGCGCGGCGATCGGAGACCCCAGTGAGCGCGCACCTAAGGTCACTCCGGCGAAGGGTCACTCTTACGTCTAGTCGATCCTTACCCTAATGGCAAGTCGTCGTCGTCCCCGGGCGCGCACGTCAAACAAAGCACAAGCAAGCGGCACCCCTTGTGTTAGAGGCGCGCAGGCCAGGGATCGACCCAAACAGTGTCTTTCGTTTTCGCGTGGTGCTCGTTTTCCCTCGTTTCGTCCCCAACCCACCTTTGATGCCGAACGAGATCGGAACGGAAATCGAAACGAAAACGGCCCACGAAATCGCCGAAACACCATTTCGGCCGACCCCTGCTTTGTGTTAGAGGCGTGCAGGTAGCGATTGATAGCCTGGTGATCTCCGACCTGCGAGATGGATTCAGCCAAGTCCCACTCTCGAGCAAAGCCTCGCCGCGCGTGCAGCATCGAGATGGCGGTCTGCTCGGCCAGCCCCGCCTTCAAGATAACGCATGAAGCAGTGTTGCTGGTGCTCGAGGGCAAGATGGATCGCGTGGCCTCCGCATGCCTCGAAAGCCCGCTGCCTCACTGAAATCAACCGAAGCTGCCCCACCCCTCAAGACAAGACGGCAACGCTTGTAACATGACCCCTGGAAGACAGAAAACAGTGTTGGGCCCAGGGGCACTATCGTGAAACTTACTCAGCATCTACTAGACATGCCACTCAGATAATTCCCACATCAAATGTGCGGCAATAGCCTGGATCAAAACCAAGAAGTATTAACCTTGGCAGGGTCAATATTGCACGGCGTATGCACGCATACCCAGCGACGGAAGCCTCGACGGCTCAAGACGTCCACCGTCGCAGCGAACGGCAGTGCCAGGTCGCAAGTCCTGGCCAGCACATCGTCACCCCGTCAGCCGCGCCATGGCAGCGGACGCCGCTGACTGCTGGCGGGGCGCCTGACCTCGGGCTTGCTGCGAGGTGAGCGTTCGCGGGCAGCCCGACCCGCGAGGACGGCATCACTGGCGCCGTTTGCACCAGGACTCCTGGAAGAAGGGCGCACGGGCAATGCGTGGCAAGCGTGCCCTGAGGCGCGCGGTGAGGCTCGCGTTGGCGGCGGGGGCAGCTTGGCATCGAGGACGACACTACACTCGGACCACTGCAGCGCAACTGCTCCCCAAAGAGACCATCGACGAGTTGACCCAGCCACACACACAACCTGAAGTAACAGTACATACACCAGCGGAGCGGCACAGAGCCACCCACTTCAAGGACCGCACTGTGCGGATCTGGAGCTTCAACGCCGAGTCTCTACGCCGAGTGGGCCGTCTCGAGGAACTCCTGGAGCTCGCTCGTATCGAGAATGTGGCGACCTTCACTGTGCAGGGTACACAGATGGACCTGGGCATGGCATGGAAGACATGTGGATATGAAGTACACTCGCATCCCCGCTCAGACGTTAGTCAACGCGACGGATGTTTGATTGCAATCAGCCTTAGGCACCTCAATACAGGAGAGATCAGATGCGAGCGCACTTGGCCCCCAGGCAAACTTCACGGCATGCGACTCCGAAGCCTACAACACAGCCGCTATGAGCGTGACATATACATACTGAACGGCTACGCCCCAACGAATAAGCCTGGTCGCCCGCCCCAGGGAGTCGATGCAGGATTATACCGTGAAGCTCATTTTTCTCATCAGGAGGCTTTCTGGCACACCTGCCGCCATGCCATCAGCCAAGTGCCAGCTCGGACATCATTGGTGGTGACATTGGACGGCAATGCTCATCTCCCCCCACATCTGCCGCGCGTTGGACACGCAGGAGTTCGAGGGCATGGTCCCACCATCAACAGCAACGGCCGCGCAACGATGGACACATTGGAGGACCATGGCATGATGGCGCTCAACACGTTTGGGCGCGAAGGACGACGCAATGGCACATGGCGCAGCCCGAGCGGCAGTTGGACCACTATCGACTACGTGCTTGTACGACGGCTGGGAGAGCACGGCCACGCTTCTCGCCCCCGCTATGACTTGCCCGTCAATCTAAGAGGATATCGCGACAACCGACCCTTGGAAACGAAGATCTTCGTGGGGGCCCGTTTGAAACAGCCAGACTCAGCCCAGCGACCACGGCGGCGACGTGAACTACTTATCAACGACCTCCGCTTGGCGCAGCTCGCAGCCGAGGACGACGAGAACCGAGTCCACGTCCCACAGCGCGCGCTGAACTAACGCGCCAAGGTCCATCGACGGCTCAAGACGTCCACCGTCGCAGCGAACGGCAGTGCCAGGTCGCAAGTCCTGGCCAGCACATCGTCACCCCGTCAGCCGCGCCATGGCAGCGGACGCCGCTGACTGCTGGCGGGGCGCCTGACCTCGGGCTTGCTGCGAGGTGAGCGTTCGCGGGCAGCCCGGCCCGCGAGGACGGCATCACTGGCGCCGTTTGCACCAGGACTGCTGGAAGAAGGGCGCACGGGCAATGCGTGGCAAGCGTGCCCTGAGGCGCGCGGTGAGGCTCGCGTTGGCGGCGGGGGCAGCTTGGCATCGAGGACGACACTACACTCGGACCACTGCAGCGCAACTGCTCCCCAAAGAGACCATCAACGAGTTGACCCAGCCACACACACAACCTGAAGTAACAGTACATACACCAGCGGAGCGGCACAGAGCCACCCACTTCAAGGACCGCACTGTGCGGATCTGGAGCTTTAACGCCGAGTCTCTACGCCGAGTGGGCCGTCTCGAGGAACTCCTGGAGCTCGCTCGTATCGAGAATGTGGCGACCTTCACTGTGCAGGGTACACAGATGGACCTGGGCATGGCATGGAAGACATGTGGATATGCAGTACACTCGCATCCCCGCTCAGACGTTGGTCAACGTGGCGAATGTTTGATTGCAATCAGCCTGAGGCACCTCAATACAGGAGAGATCAGATGCGAGCACACTTGGCTCCCAGGCAAACTTCACGGCATGCGACTCCGAAGCCTACAACACAGCCGCTATGAGCGTGACATATACATACTGAACGGCTACGCGCCAACGAATAAGCCTGGTCGCCCGCCCCAAGGAGTCGATGCAGGATTATACCGTGAAGCTCATTTTTCTCATCAGGAGGCTTTCTGGCACACCTGCCGCCATGCCATCAGCCAAGTGCCAGCTCGGACATCATTGGTGGTGACATTGGACGGCACTGCTCATCTCCCCCCACATCTGCCGTGCGTTGGACACGCAGGAGTTCGAGGGCATGGTCCCACCATCAACAGCAACGGCCGCGCAACGATGGACATCTTGGAGGACCATGGCATGATGGCGCTCAACACGTTTGGGCGCAAAGGACGACGCAATGGCACATGGCGCAGCCCGAGCGGCAATTGGACCACTATCGACTACGTACTTGTACGACGGCTGGGAGAGCACGGCCACGCTTCTCGCCCCCGCTATGACTTGCCCGTCAATCTAGGAGGACATCGCGACAACCGGCCCTTGGAAACGAAGATCTTCGCGGGGGGCCGTCTGAAACAGCCAGACTCAGCCCAACGACCACGGCGGCGACGTGAACTACTTATCAACGACCTCCGCTTGGCGCAGCTCGCAGCCGAGGACGACGAGAACCGAGTCCACGTCCCACAGCGCGCGCTGAACTACCGCGCCATGGTCCAGGAGGGCATCGCCGAGAAGCAGCTGCACGAGGACTGGATCGACACCTGTGGCAGGGGCAAGCTGTACGAGACGCCGTCTGACAACTTCAATGCTATGGAGGGCGTGATCATTGAAGCAGCACGTCAGGACTACATAGACATACCCCAACCTGGGGGCACCGCACAGGGCCCTGCCTTCTCTGACGACACCGTGCGGCTTATCAAACGCAAGCACCACTGGCAGAGGCAGCTTGCGGTGCTGCCGTCAGGCTGACGCTGGCTCTACCAATGCTTCTCGCAGCAGTTCCATGAGGCCACAAAGAATACCACAAAAGCGACCAGGAGTGAAAAAGCGTCACCGAATGACTCAACTTGCCGAAAGTGCTGAGCGTTCCGCTGGCGAGAATAACTTGAGGAGGCTCTACACCATCGTGCGACGGCTTGCTCCTAAGCCACCAGCGCCCATCATGACAGTAACCGGCCCGAGGACTGGCCTCCCGCGTTTTGACTCTGAACGGGACAACCAAGTTCGAGTTGAGAGTATATATGACCTGTGCGACGGCATGGCGATGCAGATTGATTCACTACCCACACGTGCACGTGACATGAGCCGCGATGATGAGCGTATTGGCCCCTACGATCTGGCCGACATCAAGCAGAGCATCACCGACTTGACGAAATACAAGGGCGGCTCGACACTCCAATGGTTCCCGCAGGCTCCTCCCACAGGTGCGATCGCCGAGACCTGGAAGATGGCCCTCGATAAGGTCGCACCACCACTCCTGCAGATCTTCAATAGCAGCCAGGCTTTAGGAGCGGCCCCACAGCGGTTCAAGGACGGCGAGACGGCCCACCTACGCAAGCCGAAGGGCGACGGCAAGTCTGCCGCCAATGACTACCGCACTATCAGCCTGATCAACCACATTGGCAAGGTGTTCGCTCGGGTCACAACTTTGGAAGCACTGCGAGGCGTGTCACGCAGGATCTCTGCCACTCAGTATGGTGCCATGCCTGGTCGCAGCACGCGTGATGCCGTGGCGGTGGCGACAGAGGTGATCAGTCGACATCAACAGGCTCACCGTGTTCGCGTGCGCGGCCGAGCCATCACAGCGCCGCCCATGCTGCTAGTCATCCTCACGGACCTCGAGAAGGCTTTCGACATGATCGACCGCCAGAGTATTTGGGATCGCTTAGCGGACATACAGCTCCGCCCTGATGCTAGAGAAACGATTGAGGAGCTCCACGATGGCATGTGTTATCTATACCGCGATGTGAGGACACGCTTGCCAGTCTCCAGGATCCAAGTCCAACGTGGAGTCAGACAGGGCGGAGTTGAGAGTCCTGGCCTCTTTGTGGCAGCCTATGACAAACTGGTGGCCACTCTGGCCGAACGACAACGTGAGATGGAGTACCCTGGGATTCAGATCTACTATGACCCCAGCCTCAAGCGGACCAGGAACAACGACGAACTGCTAGCCGACACCTGCGAGAACTTAGACGTGACTCACCTCATGTTTCTAGATTTTGATGAGGCGACCCTGTTGCTGGATCTGGTGAATGGAAAGATTTCTCATGGTGGGATGAAGGTCCATGCGCGCAAGACGGAACTCCTCCTCATCCCCAGCGGCACGGGCAGCAAGCGCCGCCAGAAGCTGATCACCTCCCATACCACGGGCATTGTGACATGGCAAGATGATGACGCACTTCCCATCCACCCACAGCCGACGGTCAAGTACCTGGGCGTTCGTTTGGCCGTTACCGGCAGCTACCAGACGGAGATTACCCACCGACTGCCGGCGGCCAACCAGGCCCACTCACGACTACTCAGACGCGCCTTCAAGGAGGGTTCAGCCCCAAGATGAAGATAAGATTGTGGAAGTCTCTGGTAAGGTCAGTCGGCCTTTACTGCCTAGAGGTGGCGGTGGTGTCCAAACGAGAGCTACTTCGGCTGGAATCCTGGCAGGTTCGCAGACTACGTGGGTTGCTGCACTCGCCTGCCCACATCCACAAGCTCACCAATCGAGAGATCAGGAGGAAGGCCCGCGTCCCGACGGTCGAAAGCACCTTGCTACGACGACGGCTTAAGTGGTGGAGACAGGTATTGTGGCCAGCCTTCCAGGGGCCCACGGATGACTTCTACGACCCCACGGTAGCTGTTCGTGCTGTTATCTTTGGCCGCTTCTCCTTTGAACCCGCGGCCCCTCGTGAGCCACATGGTCATCTTGCCCTTTTGAAAGAGGACATGCGCCAGCTCTGGGCGTCGGTGGAAGCACACGAGCAGCTGGAGGCCCGTCGTTTGTGTCGGCTCCATGAGGATTTACCCGACCTCGCCGAGCCCTGGCTGCGCTGGCTCGCCTCCTTGGAGCCGCGCTGCTGTCGCCGTGTCCTCACATTTGGCGACGCTGCTGTTGGGGAACTGCCTGCTGTTGTGTGGCTTGACTGCGATGTGTGCGGACAAAAATGCAGAGGGGAGAAGGGTCTTGCTAATCACAAGCATGCTGCTCATAACATCTATGCAAACCCCATGGCGACCTTCCTCTCAGATGGTGATCTTCAGCAGAAGAGATGCCCCCACTGCGCGAAGCACTTCACCAGAAAGGACACGTTGATTCGACACATCAAACTTGGTCGTTGGCGTGCTCTTGCCGAAGGCGTTCAGGCTCAAGTTGAGCGACCTACGCCCGACTCTCCAGCCCCACCTCGTGGCGACCCAGCCGCTCCTGATGGCGAGCATGTTCCAGCCGATAGCGGAGGTCCAGGTGGCGAACCCGAGCCAGAAGCGGGCAGCGGCCGTTGAGGTCGAGGACGAGGGCGAGGGCGGCGACGTGGTCGGGCCGCTGGCCAAGGCGCTCGCCAAGTTGGCACTGCAGCACGAGGATTTGGCACGGGCCAGCCACCGCGACGACAACTTCGCGATGGTGCTCAAGCCTCAGAGTGCGTTGGAGAACGCGCTGGAGCAGGCACTGGTAACCTACGAGGACAAGGGCCGCAAAGCGAAGGAGAAACCTACGGAGCAGGACTCGACATACCTGGGGCACCCCCTGGGCAAGCGCCCCGATGCGCTGGCGATGGCTGTGGTCTTTCGCATCGCAGAGGCGGTGGTGAACAAGAAGAACCAGGTCGTGGAGGCGGCAACGCAGAGCCTGGACCCAGAGGCGGCCAAGGCCGCATTGGAGGTGATCATCCAGATGGGGAAGTTGGCCCAAGACCAGCAGGCAAAGTTCGTGGCCACGCGGTGCTTCCGCATCAAGCTCAACCGAGACGACAAAGGCGAGAGCCAGGACGAGGGCGAGGTGAAGTGGATCTTTGCCCTCAACCACTACCCGACGTTCAAGCTGGCGCTCAACACGTTGAGGACCAACGGCGCCCTGGCAGCAGCAGGGATCAACCTGCAGTACGACATCGCGACGCGGTCGCGCGCGGCCAAGCTCGTGGAGAGCTTGGCGGTCAAGAAGGGAGGCGGGGGCAGCGGCAGCAGCACCAAGAAAAAGCAGAAGAGGAAGTGATGAGAGGGGCACCTGAGGACTTGCTAGCAGCACCTTGGCCTTCCTCCACTCCTCCTCCTCGTCTTCCCTCGACGTCGTTGACGCCTCGCTCCACCTCTCGTCCTCCTCCTGGCCAGAGCTCGCTTTCGAGATACTTCAGGTTACAGCCTCGGGACCCTACCCAGTATTTTTTTCGGTGGGCTCGGGATCCTGGAGGCCAGTTTTAGGGCCACGCTTGGGGGCCTGCGCCTCTCTCCACCAGGGGGAGGGGGGAGCCGCCCTCGCAGTGCCACCTCTGCAGAGGCGGAGGTGCGCGAGGCGCGGGGCAGAGGCACTGCTGCCTTCGCTCGCGATCCTTGCTGCAGTCTCAGGGCATCTCCGACTTTGATCGTGAGCGCCGCGCACGTTCGCGGCAGTGTGTGTCTGCCCTCGCGAAACTTCCTTGGGAACGGGAGTAGCGTTCCAAAAATACCCAGCGACGGACTAACTCGCATGCACCAACTTCGAGAGGGTTCCCAACGGCGTCCTTGGCACCCGCGGATTCTTCCGCTGTTTGCGAATCCAGGCGCAACAGAGCTGGAGCAACTGGTGTCGCTTCTGCCTTTACTTCTGAGAACGACGCAGCCTTGGACTAAACGACGAGGAGTGCAGTGGGCTCAGGATCATATATATATACACACACACATACACACGTATATACACATTTATGTATATGTAAGATGTGTGTAAATGTGTGTATATATATATATATGTATATATATACCCGCATACATAAAACATCGATCTAAATGCGCGTATACAGATGTATGTATGATGGTCGCCCCTGCAAAGACGAACGACAGCGCCAGAATCCACCCCAGAACCACCCCCTCCTCATCGTTCACCTTCGCGAACTGCACCACTTCCGCATTGTCTTCGTCGACGATCTCCCGGGCATCGGCGAAGCGCCACGCCACCTCCAGGGCCGGTGCACGCGGAAGGGGTGCGGCTTCGCTGGGAGCCCCGCAGGTGGCCCGCGGGAGAAGCCCTGCATGCAGCAGCGGCTGGATCCTCGATCCTCGATCCTCGATCCTCGAGCCTCGAGCCTCGAGCCTCCAGGGTGAGCGGAGCCACGGAGGGCTGCACGGCGTGCAGCAGAGCAGGCATCACCAGCGAGGCACGGCAATAGGTTGACCGTGTCTTGCTGGCTGGAGCGGGCGATGCCGCAACAGAATATGCCGATCGAGTGCTGGGCAAGCGCGTGGCCCCATCTGGATGAGTGTTCGACCGAGATCCAATGCAGGGTATCAGAACTTGAGTGCTTAAAGCCCCCCTCCTCCCATGTTTGCTCCTGATCTTCCTCCTGGCGCTCATCCTGCTGAATGTGCCCCTTCGTCCCTGTCGCCAACCTCTCTACAATCCTTGTCCCATCGCAAGGTCCCCTTTCGACCGATCGTTCCTCTCTCTCGCGCCCCTCCGCATTATACCAACATGACTTACTCTGTTGTTGTTTGCTCCCTGAGAAATTGCAACAGGATGCATCATCCCGCAATGCAGTATTCATAATCCCACCAGCCCTCTGGGCGTAGGTGGTCTAGAGAGCTTTTTATTCCAACCCCCTTCTTCCCCTTCGGGGAAGGGGTTGGCGAGTGCCTTGACCCCTTCCCCTACCCGCACCCCTGGACCTGGAGGGGAGGGGTCGCAGGTCGATGGATCGTCCAAGATGGCCCAAGACGGCGCTAGGAGGGTCTCAGGGAGCCCAAGTTGACCTCCAAGATGGCCCAACATAGCCCAATGGGGCTCCAAATGGCTCCCAAGATGCTCCAAGAGGCCCCAAGACCGCTCCAAGACGGCTCCGAGTGGCCGCGGAGCCCCCCCAGGAGGTCGCCAAGATGCCAGAATCCTCCAAAAACATAAGGAAAATCAATGACGTGTGCCTTCTCGCCATAGTGTTTCCACTGGCCTTTCGAGGCCTCAGGATGGCTCCAAGAGGGCCCATGAGGACCCCAAGGGAGGCCCAAGAGAGCCCCAAGACAGCCCCAAGACGGCCCCAAGAGCGACCAAGCGCACTCAAAGAGCGCCCCAAGAGGGACCCAAAAGGCGATGTTTGGGGCTCCGGAGGGTTGGCCGTAATTGGAGCTCCCAACATGTTGATCGATCTCCCCCAAGATGGCCCCAAGAGCGTTCCCAAGGATCCCAAGAGCGCATCAAGAGGGCCTCACGAGGCGCCCAGGAGTCCCCAAGAGGCGCCCATGAGGCCTCCAAGAAGCCCCCAAGAGACCCCCGAGAGGCTCCAAGAGGCTCCCCGAGACACCGAGACGCTCCATGAGGCCCCCGAGACCCCCAAGAGGCCCCCAAGACGCTCCAAGAGGCCTCCACTGGGGGGCCCTTCCTCTGCGTGCTGCCCACATCCCAGATCGAGGCAACTCCTCTGGGCATCGTTTCTGGATGGGCTGGTGGGGTTAAGCGAAGCGTCCAGAATTGCAATTCTCACATTCCGCAAACCCTGCCTGACTGTTTATACATTGCCGCGTCTTTCCTTGTATTGCATTGTGTCCTGGCCTAACTCATCACAACTTGCCTTAAACTACGGAACTGGATTGTACAGTAATTCACCTCATCTCTGTCGCCTCCATGTGTCCATTGTACCCTTATCCGCACCTGTAGCAGTACTGTAACTGTGCTGCTGTAGCTGGTACTACCTTATCTGGCGCTTGGGCCTTAATAAGCAAATCTCTTGGACTGACCATGCGAGGAATCCACCGACCCATTCGGCGTGTGTGAGACGCTGTCGTCGTCTTCGTCGTCGCCAGTCCCAAAGAAAATCTGGAAACGAACAAAGACAAGGAGGAGGGGTGGGGGGAAGATCCGCCGACCCCTCCGGGTTCATCGGCGTGTGAAATATTCCCCCTCCCCAATCCCCTCCCCCGGGAGCCCGGTCCGGTCGATTTTTTGGGGGGGGGTCCGGCCAAATTTCCCGATTCCCCCGATTTCCCCCGGGGGGGTCATCCGATCCCGAAAATCCTGCCTGCAGGGGCTCCTCCAGTGGCCTCGAAATGGCCCCGGGACGCACCACGACGGCTCAAGAGGACCTCCACGTGGCCTTCAGTGGCTCCGAGATGCCCCAATATGGGCTCAAGACAGCTCACGATGCCTCCAAAACGCCCCAAGAGGCCCCCAAGGGGCGCTCCAAGAAGGTCCAAAGCAGCGAAAATCATTGATTTTCCATTGGGAAACGTACATTCTTAGCATCGACGACTTTTCAGCCTGCACAGGTGTTCCAGCCAGTCTAAGAGGCCCCCAAGGCCACCCCATGACGTCCCAAAAGGGTCCCAAAAGGCGCCCAAGACGGCCCAAAACGGCGCCAAGACGGCCCCAGAGGCTCCCGAATCGGCCCAAAAGATTCCCAAGACGGCTCCTAGAGGGGGCCCAGCGGCGGAGCCCGAACCGAAAATCCGAGCCTTCCGCTCCCACCTGGCCCTGGGACGCCCCACGAGCCGCCCAAAGGGCCCCAAGAAACCCCAAAAAGACCTTCAAAGAGAGTCAGAGAGGCCCAAAAGAGGCCCCAAGAGGTCCCAAAACCGCGACCAGTGAACTTCGAAACTACCTCCACGAAGCCTGCGAGATGCCTCCCCTGAGATCCCCCATAACCCCCCCAGGGACCTCAAACCGGAGGTTTGCCCCCCCCGGGCCCGGCACGAGCGCATCACGGGACTTTTCCGGGGTCTAGAGGGCCTAAACACGGGCCAAGAAGGCCCCCAAAAAAAACTCCAAGACGGCCCACGAGAGCTCCGAGACGCCAAACGACCTCTCCGATTTCGGTAGTCTTCTCTTGCACGCGCCGCTCCTGTCGCCTTTTGATGATTCCCCACCTGTTGCTGCTGCAAATGTTTCGTGTCCGAGAACGCTCCTCCGCACGCCGCGCACGTCACGTCGCACCTCGTTCTCTCGCCCCTCCGCGCATTTCCGACAGAGCCTCTCCCCCGATGAATCGTGCTTCTTCTGTGCACCCGACATGTCCGCCTGCTCTTTCAACAGCGTCAGACATGTCTTGCTCGAACGCATTTAAGGGGTCGGCGGATGTGGCGCACGCCTGAAGAATCAAGACACCCCCTAGACAGCAAGCCGTCTAGCTCACTCCCACCCGGCCTCCCAACACAAAAGTAACACCCGAGCCTGAGCATGTTCAGCGGTCGTCTTTGGATGGACAGCTACTGGGAACCAAAAACGACCCCATGTGTGACGCTGGGGCAAGGTGCGCCACGCGTGCCAGGCGCGCCACGCGCGCCAGGCACCCCTGGGGCCAGAGCGTGCCAGGCACGCCTGATGCGCCAGATGCGCCAGGTGTACCGCACTCTCCAGCCGCGCCAGGTGCGCAACGTTCGGGGCACGAGCAGAGTGCGTCAGGTGCGCCTGCGCACGTGACAGCACACACCGGGAAACATGTCGGCCCCCACCATCCTTGTCGAAAGCCAATACCCATCATTGTGTCTGGTGGGCCTGCGTACAGCAGGCCATACGCCACCAGCCCCGCCATCCCTGTCAAGAACCACTTGACAGTGATCGCGGGGTGGCCGCGCATGATCTAGATGTAGCCGCGAGGTGCATGTTGTATTGTTTTCCCAACCATCCTGTGGTGTTGGGTCCTCGTTCTGAAAAGACAGCACCCGCGTCCTCCTTCCTTCCTTCTCCTCCCGCTGCCTCCCCTCCCTCTCCTCCTCCTCACCCTCCTTGCCTCTGCCCCTTGCATGTCTCTGTTTCGGCACACCCCTCACACGGTTCGTCGCCCCATGAGGAGCTCCACCGATGGCCCCAGTGGCAAAGTTCGCATGCAGGTCCACCCCTATTTCGGCGCCCCCCACACGGTTCGTGGCCCAATAGGGAGCTCCACCGAAGGCCCCAGTGGCAAAGTTCGCATGCAGCTCCACCCCCATTGCGGCGCGCCCCTCACACGGTTCGTGGCCCCATGGGGAGCTCCACCGAAAACCCTAGTGGCAGAGTTCGCACGCAGTTCCACCCCATTTCGGCGCACCCCTCACACGGTTCGTGGCCCCATATGGAGCTCTACTGCAGGCATCAGTGGCAAAATTCACATGCAGTTCCACTCCCATTCCGGCGCACCCCTCACACGGTTCGTGGCCCCATAGGGAGATCTACCGAAGGCCCCAGTGGCAAAGTTCGCATGCAGTTCCACCCCCATTGCGGCGCACCCCTCACACGGTTCGTGGCCCCATAGGGAGCTCCACCGAGGGCCCGAGTGGCAAAGTTCGCATGCAGTTGCACCCCCGTTTCGGCGCACCCCTCACACGGTTCGTGGACCTCCACCGAGGACCCCAGTGGCAAAGTTCGCATGCAGTTCCACCCCCATTTCGGCGCACCCCTCACACGATTCGTGGCCCCATAGGTAGCTCTGCTGCAGGCCTCAATGGCAAAATTCGCATGCAGTTCCACTCCCATTCCGGCGCACCCCTCACACAGTTCGTGGCACCATAGGGAGTTCCACCGAGGGCCCGAGTGGCAAAGTTCGCATGCAGTTCCACCCCCATTGCGGCGCACCCCTCACACGGTTCGTGGCCCCATAGGGCGCTCCACCGAAGGTCCCAGTGGCAGAGTTCGCATGCAATTCCATCCCCATTCCGGCGCACCCCACACGGTTCGTCGAAGGCCCCAGTGGCGGAGTTCGCATGCAGTTACACTCCCATTTTCGGCGCATCTCGCACACGGTCGTGGCCCCATAGGGAGTTCCACCGAGGGCCCGAGTGGCAAAGTTCGCATGCAGTTGCACCCCCATTTCGGCGCACCCCTCACAAGGTTCGTGGCCCCATGGGGAGCTCCTGGACCACGATCACCCGCCAAATATTGTTGCTCCGCGCTCCCGAGGCCATATTCATCGTAACTAGAAGTCCGCCTTTATCCCACCAGCCAGCCAGCCGCCTGCCAACCAGCCAACCCTTTGAACTAGCCGAGCTGCCAACCAATCAGCCCATCAACCACCCGAATCATCAACCCAGCCATGCAGTCAATCGAACGGGGATGCCGGCGGCAGGTGGCGAATCCCTTCAGATGATGAAGGTAAAGATGATAAGAGGAGATGAGGTACAGTCGGGGCGTTGACCTAAGGAACCCTAAATAAGGAACGAGGCCCCTTTTTTCCATAAGTTAAACTTCGATTTCCCATCGAAAACACAAGGACAACCTGAGGCAAGCTGTGAAACAATCAAGGAACACCGAGCCCCTCCCAAACGAAAAGGGTTCCTTCTTCAGCGCCCCGACTGTAAGGCACGGGTAAGGTGGTAAGGCAAGGTCTGATACGTACGGGGATGGAACTCATTCGCGACGGTCCAGTGTCAACGTCACCAACATTGCCCAGCCCGCGCGGCACCCAAAGCGTGGCCCACAAACTGTCCGTGGTGCGGGCCGTGACTCGCTCTCGGGCCACCTGAAGTCGACTGGCCTCTGCGCAGCGCCGGCATCATGCCACCAAAGCCAAATCCAAAGCCAAACCTGTGAGCAGGAAAACCGCGCACATTCGGCGCCAGTGCAATCCCTGAGGATACCCAAAAGCACGGTGACGCCAGCTGCAGCAGGCAATGGCTCGCCATCGCTCGGACGTCCACTTTTTGTATGTTTTTTTGGTGTCGTGCGTGTTTTTTTCACCAAATGGTCAAGGATCCTCCTCGATGACCCTCGCCGAAGGAAAAATCCGCACGTCCGAGCGATGCCAAGATGGTTGTGCCGCGAAGAGCCGTCGTCAGCTAAAGTCTCATAAATCCCCTGAGCTTTCCCCTTGCCCCCGGGCTGCAGCTCCACTGGGCGCCTTGTCGTTCACGCTCGTGAGAGCTGCGGCGAGATCCTTCACCACCTGGCCCGGGCTTTACTCTCTGCCGCGCATTCCTCACGTGCCACTGACAGGGGAAGGGCGAAGCCAGACAGCACGTGCGCGTCGTAAATACTCGCGCGCCCCAAGACATCAGGTAGGGGCCTCCCCACGTCGAAGGAGCTTCCTCGCAGGGGAGCGTCAGAGGGAGCTCCTCCCCATTCTTCTTCCACGTCCCTCTTCCTCAGAATAACTCATCCCTGTCGCGCCCCCAGACATGTGGGTAGGACGAGCTAGGCGGTTCGCCTGAAACTTACACACAAGTTACGCTCCTTGAGCTTGAAACGTGTACACCTTGCGAAATGCTTAAGAAATCATGGGTTAAGAAATTCATAGTCTCAGAACTTGACTAAAAAACCCAAAATTTCTATTAAAATCTTAGGATTTACGTTGAAGCATTAAGAATAATCGAGACCCTGGCCGAAAATGCAAGTTTTCTTAAGCATCGCCTAAGGTGTAACAGCTTCAAAGGGTGGAGGGCGGTCCAGCTTCAAGATGTGGCTCTCGCCTCGGCGCCGCGCACCTTCGCCATACCATTCTGTAGCAGTTTTTCAAGGATGAAGGGCGGGCCGCTGTCAAAATGTGGCTCTCACCTTAGCACCGCGCACATTCGTCTTTGAAGTTATCAGTTGCAGAGAAAAATAACGAGCGGATTGCTTGTTTTCAAAATGTGGCTCTCGCCTGAGCGCCGCGCACACACGTGTTGAAGGTTTGCACAAAATTCAAGGATGGAGGGCAGTTCCTTTTCAAACTTTGACTATCGACTAAGCGCCGCGCACATTCGTCTAGACACTTTGCAGCGGTTTCAAACATTCGTATAATTGAAATCTGAACAGACGAATGTGCACTTGAATATTCTCAGGCAGTTGCCTTCTAATGGGGCACTTTCCGCAACGAAAGCCCACCACCACGCCTCTGAGCACGGAGTGGGCGTGTCCTCAGGTCCTCAGGAGTCTCTTACGGTTGAGTCGGGCCCGTCCCTCTACAGGAATATCAGAAAATTGGCATAAAAATAATCGGGGGACGGTGTTTGATCATTCCCTGCGATTTGGGCATCTTTCTGGGCTATCTTTAATGCTTCGCCCGACTTACTCTTAGGGGCCCAGGCCCCTATTTCCAAGACTCGGCGGCGCTCCCGGCGTGCCCCCGTGGGCTCCCGCGGGAATGCTCTGGGCCCGCGGGGGCCCCCGAGACGGGCCGGGAGGGCCACCAAGAGTCCCCCGAAGCGGTCCGTGAGGGCCCCGAGCCGCTTTTTTTTCACAGGCGCCATTCAAGCTCGACGAAAAATGCCTTGGTTCCTGGAGCTCTGGCTGGCCCCGAGCCGCTGAAAGGTCGCCCCGAGACGCGCACCGTGGACTCCAGACGGCCCACAGGGCCCGCAAGACGCCCGGGGAGGCCCCGGAGAGGGCCTCCCCCAAGCCCCCAAGAGGCCAGAATGATCGATGGCCTTCGTGATGCGATGGTTTTGGCGAGAACTTGGAGGGCGGGCTTGTTTGCAACAAGAGTAATGGTCGTGGGTTTACCCAGGTCCTCCTCCTCCTCCTTCTCCTCCTCCTCCTCCCTCCTCCTCCCTCCTCCTCCCTCCTCCTCCCTCCTCCTCCTCCTCCTCCCTCCCTTCCCTACCTCTTCCTCCTCCTCCTCCTCCTCCTCCTCCACCTCCTCCTCCTCCTCCTCCTCCACCTCCTCCTCTTCACACCGACACCCAAGGAACCCCCCCTCTAGCGTTCCCCAAACGCATCCGAAGTAGCCCCACACACCCTCAGGCCTCTCCGATAAGTCACCACAATTGTTCAGCACAGATCCCACATACTTTATGCACGCCCATCACGCTGCATCTCGGCACCACGAGACCAATTCAAAGCTACGTGTTGACTCGGACACTGCACAAACCAACCTCTGCTTCCACAACTCGGCGGTGGACATACCTCCCTTTAGTAAGCCACCCTTTAGTGAAAACGGCCTGGGGCCGAAACCGACGCACCTGGACCCGCAAAAATGACGGCCGCGACGCCCTCTCGCGAATCGGAAACGGCCAACTCCTTAATCGACGTGCCAGGGCAGGAGGCCTATCAACCTCCGAAATTCAAAGCTACGTCACGTAGTACGTGCTGACTCCGATGCAGTCGAGGTACTACCAGAAGGAACGCCAAATAAGGAACAAAGGGGCCTTTCCGGCCACGGTGGGCCTGGGCCACGAGCAAATCCCGCGTCAGAAGCCTGGGAAACGACCCACATCCCCAAGCCCCTCTCCGAACCCAGAGCGGTCCTTGCCTCAGCGTCTTGCCTGTACTGCACAAACCTCGGGGATGGACAGACCCCCCTTTAGTAAAACGTGGGTTAGTGAAAACGACCTGAGGCCCAAACCTGGCGGGCGCGAGCCTTGAAAATAACGGAAACGGCGCCCTCTCGAGAACCGAAAACGGACAATTCACTAATCGACGTGTCACTGTTGGGGGTTCTGTCCACCCCCGACACAGGCGCTCGCAGAGTGTTCCAGCACGACGTCGCTGTGCGCCCAAGAACACAGCAGCCATTCGGGGCGGCGGCAGAGGGTGCAGCCCCTTCATACAACAACCGATGGCGGTGTGTGCGCACACGTGTGTATATATATATATATATATATATATATATGTGTGTGCGTGTACGTATATGTATGGATAGATGTAGACACACACCTGCATGACCGTGTACGTCTATACATGAATGTGTGCGTGTACGTAAATGTATATGCATGCATGCATGCATGTACGTATATGTGCGTATACCTGTGTGTATGTACACATATGTGTACGCATGCATGCGCGTGTACATATATGTACACGTATATGTGCGTGTAGATACATGTATGTATACATACACATAGGTATGTGTGTACGGAACTGTTGTGCGTATACGTAAATGTATACATACATACATGAACTGGTGTTAAAATGCAGAGAGGCGACCAGCGCGCGTTTGCAACAACGATGGGCGCTGCAGAACGCACCTGACGAGTTAGGAATCACCCTGGGACGATATTAAATAAGCACCTTCTCCGGAAAAGAAACGCTCGAGATGCCGAATCGACGATTCGGTCTCGAAGTCTCACTGCTACAAATAACACACTGTCTTTCCCGGTCTGCTTGCTATTCACGCGTGCCCATGCCCGTCTCGGCGAGTCATCCTTCCACACGATAGCCGCGACGATGATGAAAATTGGAACAGGGGGAAGCCAATGAGGAGGATGGGGAAGAGAAAGAGGGCCGCGGGCAGACACGGTTGTCACAAGGCCGTGCTTGATCCCGAATGTTAAACATCGGCAGCACAATTGAACCAGCCGTGTCGGACGGTGATCGATGTCATGCGCATCAGCACGATCGGCTCGATACTTTGGTACACAGCCCTGCGGAAGAGGAGAAAGAAGAGGACGAGGATGACAAATGGGCGGGCATGCTGTCCACCTTTGACGCTGCAGAATGCTCCGCGCCGGACCGATCCGCGGGGGCCCCCGAAAGAATCGATCGCACGCAGAAGGCACATGTACATCACCGCCGTGCTTGGCCAGGGCAATCATGGTCCGTGTCATGGTGCATGCAGTTTCGTGGCCGACGCCGGGAAGGTCCATGCACCATCCCAACGACCAACGTTGCCCTGGCCAGGCACGGCAGTGGCGCGTTGCAGCCACCGCACGAGGTCGGGAGCCTCAGGGCCCCCTGCATCAGGACGTTGCTGACCAGGACTTCAGAATTCCCGCCCCGAGTGAGCGAGGAATGGAGAATGTCTCGACCTGCGGCTGCCTCCTTCTTTGCGAAGGGGCCCCAGGACACACAAATAAATACACACAAATACACAGATTCCCCATATTTTCCCATATTTTAGGTTTTTTTGTCTTCCCCCCCACCTTCCCATGTTTTCCCATATTTTCTGAGGAATCGACGATTAACTGTGTTTGTGTGTTTTTTTCCCTCCTGACTTTGGCGCGTCGGCGTCCTGGCTGATCAAAAGGCCCCCTTCCCGAGGGCGCCAGAGGACCCCTGCCCCCCCCCCCCCCCCCCCCCCGCGCGAGCCCGCGCGGCGCGTGCCGTGGGCGGGCGAGAAACGGCACGTGCGGGACCACCCTGCGGACGATAAAGGAGGGTTTGGAGGGGAGAAGCAACTGGAGGGGCCCTGAGACACACAAATAGATACGCACGATTCACAGGATTCCCTGTTTTCCCACATGTCCCGGGCTTTTGTCCTCCCCCTCACTTTCCCATATGTTCCCATATGTTCTGGGGAATCGACGATGAATTGTGTCTGTGGGTTTCTCTCCCTCCTGAACGACTGAATGCTGGCAACTGCGACGGGCGCTACGATGACGATGCCGACGGCGCGCCCTGGAGTTGGCGACGACGCGCGATGACGATGCTGCGCCGCGATGTGCTGTCACGATCGACCCCGCGATCGATCTCACTCGATCGATACCACGATCGACCTCGCCGGCCATCTTAATATCGATGGATCCAGCGATCGATCCCTTTAGCCATCTCACACTGGGTGGCGCTGAATACGATCTGGACACCATCGGGGCACCATCGAGCCGTATCGGCACCAGGGCCGCTACGCTGTGATGGATGTTTGCTGAGTGTGGTGGTTGCAGGTTGATGGGCGATGTGTTGTGTCTTCTGCACTCGCGCCATCGCCTCCAAGTGAACTGCGCGCCAGCAGCCCGAGCCCGACGGACTCGGTGACCGAGTCGCTGCCAACACGGCTCACAACCCGACAGAGCCTGGCAGAGCCTGGGCCACAGAGCCAGGGATAGCGTGGGCCTGATTCAGCGTTCCTGTTGCTCCTGCGCGCTCGCTGCGGTTGGAGCGCGCACTCTTTGCGTTTACGTATCTTGCACGGCCTGCCTGCACGCTGGACACCCACCACTGCCCCCACACCACAGGCAAACCCACACCGAAGACTGATGCTCACCACGTGCGCGGCCGGGCTGGGATACGCAATTCTCCCCTCTGCCACGGCGGCAGTAGCGCCTCCATGCCGCGCGCGCCCTGCGCAGGCGTTCTCGCTGCCTCCCCGGCAGCTCACCGGGCAGAGCCTGGGCTGGGCCATCGGCGAGCCACCAGAACCCGAGTTCGCGAAATTGCCCTGCAACCTGTGCACTGGCTTCGTGCGAGTGCACGTGCACGTGCTCCGTCGATCGCACTCGACAGATCTCACTACCGATTTCATAGTCGATGTCTGAAGCGGTCTCAATCGATCTCACAATCGAGCTTACAATCGATCCCGCGGTCGATCTCACTGCCGATCCCGTAATCGATCGGACTATCGACCCCACTATCGATTGCACTATCGACGCAACTATCGATCTCACTGTCGATCTCACTGTCGATCGCACGTTCGATACAACTACCGATCTCACGATCGAACTCACCATCGGCCCAACAATCGATCTCACTACCGATCTCACCATATCTCGGTAATTATCGACATCACTATCGATCTCACTATCGATCGGGACACCATCGGGACACCACGGCGGGACACCGCGGGACACGGCGGGACACCACTGGACACCACGGGACACCATCGACAAACCCCGGCGGGACACCGCGGGACACCATCGGGACACCACGGGGCACCACGAAACCCCATCGGGACACCACGGTTGGGCACCGCGGGACACCATCGGGACGACACGGGACACCACTGCGGGCACCCCCATCCATCGCGTGCCCACCAGAGGTCCGCACTTTTGCATCCGAATCGCCCCAGCGACGGCGGGATCATTCCTATCGCGCGCCCACGGCGAGACACCGCGGGACACCATCGGGACCGAGACACCCCCAGCCACCGCGCGTCCATTGGAGGGCCAGACTTTTGCATCCGAATCGCCCCAGCGACGGCGGGCAGATTCCCCTCGCGCGCCCACGCAGCTCCGCCTCGCCCGCACGCACGACGCGAACACGAAACCGACACTGCTTTCCCTGTGGGGGGCTCTCCGTTCCACTGCGAACTCACCCCCCGACACGAACACGAAACCGACACTGGTTTCCCTGTGGGGGGCTCTCCGTTCCACTGCGAACTCCTCCCCCGACCTCCGATAACACGAGCCTGCCAGTCGTCGGGGCGCCCGCCCCAGCGGCGGCTGGGACGCGCAAGACCCCGGCGTGCCACCGTGGGGGCATGGACCGTCCAGCCGCCATGGGGCGTAGCCTTACGTCGGGCGTGTCCCCCTACACGGGGATTTTCGACGAAAACATACAAATACCCAAAAAGTACTCCAAAAAGGCCAAACAAATACTCCAAAAATGCCCACCAGACTATTTCTGGAGTATGTTTTGACAATTTTTGGGGGGTATTTTTTATTTTTCGTCGAAAGTCCCCCTGTATGGGGGACAGGCCCGACATAAGCGTCGCCCGAGGGCGGGAAAGCGTACTGTGTGCTGCCCTGACCGCTGAGAGAAGCGGCGCAAGGGGGGCGCCCACGTCTTCGCTCAGCCGCGCCCCGCGGAGGCTCACCTCCGTGGCGCCCTGGCGGCCGCGCGCCGCGCGCCCCGCAGGAGCCGCCGGGCCGCGCACGCTCGCGAGGCGGGCGCGGGAGGCGACTTCGCCTCGCAGCGTCGCCTTCCCTGGCCTCCCCTCGCCTTCACTCGCCTCCCCTCCCTCCCCTTCCTCCCTCCTCCTCCTCCCCTCCCTTCCTCCCCCTCCTCCTCCTCCTCCCTCCCCCTTCCCCTCCCCCTCCCCCTCCCCTCCCCCCTCCTCCTCCTCCTCCTCTCTCCTCCTCCTCCTCCTCTCCTCTCCTCCTCCTCCTCCTCTCCTCCCTCCTCCTCCTCCTCCTCCTCCTCCTCCTCCTCCTCCTCCTCCTCCTCCTCCTCCTCCTATTGGCTCCTATTGGCTCATTAGCTGTCCGTTACCGCTGAGCGATAAGGCAGCCCAAAAACAGCACCGAGGGCAAGTGTAGAGAGACGGGGTTCAGGCGGGGCCAGCTGACCAACCCGCATGAACCTGCCATCTGAGCGGAACGGACCTCCCAAAGCTCGCCTTCGAGCTGGGGTCCACTCCATTCCTGAGCATTCTGAGACCATTAGCAGCGTCGCGGTTGCGAGGACCTCCATCACACCGAGTCCCAAGGAACCGAGACCGAGCGGACCCGAAAGCGCCGCAACGCGAGCACCAGGCCACCCGACCCCCACCAAGCCAGAGCCTATGGCTCTGGTGCGCCGTCCTCGCAACCCTCGGCGGACCGCCGCAAGGCGTCAGGGCAATGTGTGCTCTCGAGCGGCCCCTCTCTCCGCACGTCGCACATCTGTACTGCCTGCCCGACTTCTCAATTAAATGTCCATTGGGCTCTGGAATCAACTGAAGCACCTGCGGCTTGGGCCTACGCGGCCTGCGCACACGCGCCACGTCTGGGAAATCCTTACACGAGAGGTCGTTCATGACCTCGGCAATCAACCAAGCCGACTGTTTGACTAAACTAAAACTATGTTTCAGCTGAGCCTTGACTAGGGGGTTGGTGGGATGAGCCTGGCCCCCAAGCTTGGCGAGCTCGTCCGCCCGCTTGTTGCCTTTCCACTCCCACTCACTCACCCCCTGCCTACGGGCCTGACCGAGGGAGAGGTGAGACCTAACCCTACGAACCGAAATCAGATCACGTCCGAGATCCCCTGCCAGCTGGAATATTTCCCTCCAAAGCTCTGAATATGCCACGTCCTCTAGGTTCTGTTCTGGCCCAAAACCCCATATATCCTCCACCATCTTGCAATCCGTGATCACGTCGAGCCCTAGCGGGCCCGCCAACCGCAACGCCATGAGGAAGGCGTACACCTCCCCTGTCCCCGCGAGCTGCACGACGTGCGGCTGGGGCCCGTACGCTGAGCCAGTGATGTGCCCGCTCGCCGTGACTGTGACCACAGCCCACCCCGCACGGGCCAGGGAAGGCTGATCTTGGTCATACCCTGATCCGTCTATACACACTCTTTTGTCGAGCACCCCGTTTGGTGGCACCACGTCCCACCGAAATCCAGCCGTTGGTACGGTGTGGGCCAAGCCCACTCGACACTCGGGAAGAGCGCCCTCGTGTGGAGCGCCTCCGTCCCTGGCAGCACGGGCATGTCCAGCAACTCTTGGACTCCGAGATCTCGAATTCGTGGCTGATGGGCAGGGCATCGAAACCTGTGTAATGCGGAACCTACCTCCTCTTGGCACAGCATACACTTGTTGTCCAAAACTCTCCTGTCTTGGTACAGTTTATCCTGAGTCTGATACCCGCCTGCGACCACACCCGCGAGCCCCGCCGCCGCCTGCGACCTGCCTTTGGCCCTGAGGTCCCTGAGCACTTCGATGACTGGTTCCAGAAGTGGCCCTTCGTCTAGACCTTCCACGCGACCGCCTCCGAGGCTCCTGACCAGATGCTCCCGAACAAACCTCTCCAGAACCATCTTCAGAGAACGTCCTCCAAGATACTCCAAGTCGATCACTAACCCCGAGTTGGTGACGAACTGGTCCCAGGCCCTCGGTTCCAAGCCAATCCGCCTAAGGGTCGAGACGACCGCGCCTGCTGGACCACGCACCTGGTTCCAGTTGAAATCCTGCTTGTTCCTGAAAAACTGAAAACTCTGCTGCATCACCTTGGGATCCACCCACTTGCTCCTGGCCGCCTGGCCCCACATGAGGAGCGGCAAAAGGTTGGAGTCGAACGCGTGGTCCCCCTTGGGCTCCTCGCTGAGAAGAAACTCTAGGGCCCTGCACCTGCCCTTGGGAGTCCCGAACACAGCCGCACCAACCGCACTCCTCATCTGCTGCAGCTTCGCGGTGGCCACCCCGTTCACTCTCGCCCCGTAAGTGGTTGCAGCAAGACCCCCAGAGCGGGCCACCCGCATCATTCCTTTCCTGGAGCTCCTGAGCCCGCGAAACCTTCCTCTGCGCCCCTTGCGGCGCCTCAGCCTGGCTTGAAGCACATTGGACCCACGGGCCCCTTTGGCTGCCATAATTTGGTCACATCCCAGATTTCTTCCTGAAAGCGCTCCCTCGAAGCTCCACTTCCGAAGCTTTCTGACTATGACCTGCCTCGTGCTCGCGCGGGTGCTCAGCACGAGGCCCTTGGACTGCGAAATCACTAGCTGCAGCTGCTCGAGCAGCGTGCACAAGTAAAAGGTCGCCCTCGGCAACCTGACTTCCACTTGCGAGACATGACCTGACGACTGCAATGTTATATCATCGACGACGTTGTATATACCTATACTGCCAACGCGCTCGCAAGTCGAGTCCAAGGGATCCAGCAAAAGGCAGCTGAGCAAACTGGTCGCTTCTCCGCAACCTGCAAGAATACCCTGGTCAACCTCTGCCACTAGCGCGCACACTCCTAGAATGCTGATGACCCGCTTGCCGCGATACAAAGATAGCTTCAAACGAAGACGAACCAGATTATATATGTGTTTGACTGCTGCCCGAGCGAGAAGGTAGTGGTTCACCTTCTCATATGCCTTTGTCAAGTCCACGAGCCCGCACGCCGAGCAGCCTCCTGCACTGATGTGCTGCTCGACCACTAGGCTTTGCTCCCACGCCGCTCTCTCGCAACTTCTACCCGAAATTCCGTACCTGTAGGGCCTCTTGACCGAGGCCTCCCACGCGCGGATCCCAGGTCGATCTAACTGCGAGAAGACTCTGACGGGGGTTGGGAGCAAGCCTATCGGTCGAAAACCTCCTTCAGGCTTACCTAGCATCGCGAGGACCGCGGTCAGCATCAGGGTGGGATACGTCCCAAGACATTCCATCCATACCCAGAGCTCACCAAGCACCTCGAGGATCGCATCAGTGGCCTTGACATGGTCCCTGGGCCTGAGCATGTCGATCCCGCACGCCGTGAAACGCTTAAACCTCAAGGCTGCTGCTCTTATATCACTGGGGGTCTTTGGGGGGCCCACTAGATCCTCCAGCCTGCTGCCCTGCTCCTGCGCCTGCTTATAAATCTCGCTCGTGAGGTACTCAATGGGGTCAGGAAGACTCCTAGCAGCCTCTGGAGGGGTCCAATGCCCAAGCCAGTAACCGTACAAGTCATCAGCCTGTTCCTGCGGGCCCATGGGTACTCTCGGGGCATCCGACTTCTTAGCTCCAGCTGGGGCCTCAGGGATCCAACCTATAGGAACCTGGCTGTACTTGTGGGCCTGGCCCCCTCCGTTGGCCACCGCTTGCTTGACCCACTCGCGCCACCGCTTGGACCGTTCAGAGGCGAACGATCTCTCCAGCGAAATTGAAACCTTGCCAGCCTCTTCGCCCCAGCGTCGGAGCTGCTCAACATCCGCGTACATCAACTGCTCTCGAGAAGGCCCCCAGCCTTCCCAATCCTGCTGCTCACGAAGCTGGTGTGGGCCCCGTCGCATTTGCCCCAGGATCCCCATGGTGCTAGCCTTCCCCCACTCCGAAGCGCTAGCCCTGAGGTACGCGAGCCCCTGGAACCAAATCTCAACTCTCCTCCATCCTCTGCTTCGTGGACACCCAACAGGATACTTGCCTCCCGAGGTCTTCAAGGCGGGTACCATCCTGAACTCGGGCCCCCTGGACCTTCCAAAGAACTTCTCCTGATCCGAGACCCCGCGGTACTCTCCCAGCTCCGCCTCAAGAAACCCCATAAACTCACTAAAACATATGTCCAGAGCCTCTCGGCCACCGCGCTGCCTCGCCTGTGCCAGCAGCTGGCGGTAGTCGCGGGGCTCCTTCATCGGGCCAATGACCACCTCATTGGGGAACGCGGCAGGCTTCTTGAGCACCCTAACAAGATGCTCCATCGGCTTGCCTTTAAACTGCACAATGACAGGCCAATGCGGCTTGGTGGGCGCCTTCCTATTGAGGTGGCACGAGTGCGCATTCGCTGCAAGACCTGCCGACATCACGAAATAATCGATTGTCTTCCAAACATTGGCTGTCGACTTACACGTGTAGGTGTTGGGATGGATGACCTGGCCCCCGAGTTTTCCAGCCCACCCCATCTCCTTGAACACCTCAGGTGATACATTCCAGCCCCCCCCCCCCCCCCCCAAGGATGAACGGCAGCCCCCAACTATGAAGACGTTCTCCTAGCCGACTGAGAATCCGACTCCCTTCAGGTCCTAGCGGGTCTGCGTCGGGAAGATAGACTGAACCTAGAATGAATCCGCCTGGGACGAACGTATTGATCCATCGTAGCGATTGCCGATGCGGTGCAGGAAGGTCTCGCACAGCTGTCGGGGGCATCCCCAGACCTATGTGCTTCCTGCAGGCCACCGCTACCCCAGACGAGAGCCCTCCAGCTTCGGTAACTATGGACGGTGTCAGACTGGCATGCCACCCAAGACTTCGCAGTGTCTGTTCACGCTCCTGCAGCTCGCTCGGTTCCACAGTGATATCCTGCAGTACTGCTACGCTAGACTGGCACTCACCCTCGAGATACTGCTTCGCCGACTTCCAACAGGTCGTGTTGCATGATTCTACCGAGAAAAAACTCTCCCCCTGGTCAGCCCTGGAAACTGAACTAGCTTGCAGGCGCTCAAGCTTCCGAGACTGTGACTTGCTTAAATAGAAACGCTGCGGCAATGATGGCTCCCACTCAGGACAAGCTGGTTCCTGCTTGGGGAAGTAGAAGGGAGGACGACCGAGAGGCGGTGGCGGCATGCGCAGCGGCGGAGGGAGAAAGAAGCCAACGAGAACCTTCCCGCACCTGCCGCGCGGCCGAGGCCTCAACGCTGCCCATCAGGGACGCCCCCCACTCCCCCGCACCCCCAACCCAGCTACCCGCCCGACCGTCCCTCCCCTGCAGCCGTCTGGCTCGCGGCAGCGCCTCCAGCGCTGCCTGCAAAGCCCTTGCCTCCTGCTGCTGCCCCTTTGCCGTTCTGTCCCAGCGCTGCTCTTGCAGCCTGGCGCACATCGCTCGGCTCGGGCAAAAAGGCTCCTGAACGGTCGCAATCGACCATTCCGTCTGTGTGGCCGTCAGAAGCGCCACCAGCCGCAGCACGACCAGCGCTAGCCTCGGCGCCTGGCGGACCCCGGGTGGTTGCCGCCTCACCGCTCTCGGCGCCGCCTGCAGCCTGGGTCCCCGCTCCCTGGCCGCCTGGCTGCGCCCCGTGGGGCTCCTCGGCCGTCCTGCGCTTCTTGGTGGACACCCGCTTGACGTGCTCTGCGTGCTCCTTGTTGAGGTTCTCCGCGAACTGCTTCGCCGAGCCGAAGAGAGTCTGCGCCCACTCGGCAATCCCCTTCTGCATCTCCTCACGCCTTTCTGCTGCCTGCTTCTGGTCATCTTCCGTAACCTCGTGCAGCTTGGAATCGACAAGCCCGAAGAGCGTCTCACATTCCCCGAGGTCGAAGCACGTGAGGTCACCTTCGAGTAGCTTGGACAGCGGCACTCTAGGCGGCTGCTCACTCGGCGCACCGACCACGTCTGCGTGCAGGTTGCCCAGCAATTCCTTGTACTTGCTATCCGCCTCTTCCAGCTCGGTGGTGAGGGCCTGCACAAGCTGGGTCTGCTCCTCGAGCGCCACCTGCATGAGCTCGAACTTGCTGACCTCCTGCTTGAGCTTGGCCTCCAGCTGCAGCACCCTCTGGTGTGCCTGCTGCGCCTGCAGCTGCAGCGGCACTGCCTTGGGCTGCATGTCGAGCCGCTTCTTGTATTCACGGAGGGTCGTGTACTTGTTCTCCATGGCACGGTCTCCAATCTTGTTGCCCAGCGTGACCAAATTGTCGATCTCCTCGCTGGACAGCTCCAACTCCTTGCTCTTGAAACCGGGCGGGGGCTGCAAGCCCTTGGCCCGCGGTGCCAGCCCTGGCGGGCTGTCGTTGTCCGCCACGTCGAGAAGGGCTCCTTCATCCGCCGCTCCTCCATCCCATGGCTTGCTGCATTGCTTGCAATACCACTGCGCCCAGGGTGTCTTCTTGCACCCACAGTGCTGGCAGCGCCACATGTGGACGCATTTACCTCGTGGTTTGCCTGCTTCACGCTCACGATCCCCAGCTTCTTCTGCTGCGCGACCTTTGCCTCTGCCATACTGCCAAGACTGACTCCACGCCATTGCACGGACTGACGAGGACTGGCCGATCTTGTGTCTGGCTGAGTGGAAACACGCCTGAAACCCGTAATCGTGAGTGGTGACCCTCACCCTGGGCAGGGCTGCTGGTCGAGGGTCGTGCGGGTCACTCGACCACCTTGAACCCCAACCCCAGGGAAGGCGAAGGCCCCAGGCAACGGCTTGAGCCAAATGGCTTGAGCCAAATGGCTACGGATCTCCTCCTCCTCCTCCTCCTCCTCCTCCTCCTCCTCCTCCTCCTCCTCCACCAACTCACTCCTGCTCCCTCATCCCCGGCGGTTCCCAGCATCTGCCTCCCCCTCCTGCTGCCCTTGAAGACAGGCGGGCGCAAGGCAGGGGCGCCGGCCACCAACACCTCATGTTGACCTAAGTTATGCTGAGGAAGAGCAACACTGACACGATAATTCCCCCCTTCCCCCTTCTCCCTGCCCCTTTTTTGTATGCTTGTTCCTTATTATTATATACCCCCACCTACTTCGTATTCTGGCCGATAGCAACTCGATCCGGGACCTCCCATCCGGACTTTAAACAAATCAATAAAAAGTTCCCGTTTTTCTTCTCAACATCGTCCTTCTTGTCGTCGACGATGCGAAAAGCGTGGCAGGAATGGGACGCGGCGCACATCGCGCGCGGCAGTCAATCTGGGCCAGCCCATCCTGACTGCAAAAAATCAATACAAAGTCTTCGCTGTTTCCTCTCAGCATGGCCTGCCTTGTCGCCGACGGTGCGAAATATGTGGCAGCAGTGGGACGCGGCGCACATATGGGACGCGGCGCACATCGCGCGCAGCCGTCAATCCGGGCCGCCCATCCTGACTGTAAATAAGCAATACAAGGTCTCCGCTTTTTCCTCTCAGCATGGCTTGCCTTGTCGCCGACGGTGCGAAATATGGGGCAGGAGTGGGTCGCGGCGCACATCGCGCGCGGACGCCCATGCAGGCTGCGGGCCCTCCCATCCTGATTGTAAAAAACAATACAGAGTTGCCGTTTTTCCTTTCATCATGGCCTGACTTGTCGTCGACGATGCGAAATGCGTGGCAGGAATGGGGCGCGACGCACATCGCGCGCGGACTTCTGGGGCAACCCCAAGGCGGGAGGGTCCACCTTACTTGTCAGAAACAATGCCATGCTGATTTTCCCTGCCCACATAGCTGTTCTTGTCGTCCAGCCTGCAAAAGTGCATGGCAAGAATTGGGCGCGGCACACCCCCCTCCCCCCCCGCTCGAAGTGAATGAAATCACCTTCCCGCTTGGGCGCCGAGCGACATGTTCTCAAAGTTGCGTTCCAGCTTTGGCTCGGCGCGCGTTTGTAGCTCGCCAATTCATTGGGCGCCGGGGCGTTCCAGGAGGCCCCAGGGTGACGAATGCCTGGGAGGTTTTTGCTTGTTCAGGCTCTTGGAGGGCCTCCTGAGGTTCCCCGCGGTTTCTTGGCGGCGTCTTCGGCCGTCTGGAGGCCATCTTGGGCGTCTTGGAACGATCTTTCGGCGACTCAGGGCCCATCGGATCGTCGCGGGGGCGTCTCGGCTCTCTTGGGGCGTTCCTGGGGCGCTCTGGGACCTGGAAGTCAGCGCCGAAGAAGAAAACCATCGCTGGGACCGACGTGCCCAAGACCTGCTCGGGGTTCTTTTCGTCCAGGGGCCCCGGGGGCCGCCCCGCGCACACAAACTAGAAGATTGTTAACTAGTTACTGGAGATCTTAGCACGCCTCTGGCCCGTCGGGCTGGCCCGGGACCTGCTCGGGGTACTTTTCGTCCGGGGGCCCCCAGGGGCCGCCCCGCGCGCGCAAACTAGAAGATTGTTAACTAGTTACCGCAGATCTTTGCACGCCTCTGGCCCGTTGGGCCGGCGAATTTGTCCCAAGCCTTTCTGAGATCTCGACCCCTTTCTCGGGAGCAGTTTTGCGTCCTGGATATTTTCTTACTGGTCCGGGGGGCCAAAAACCGTTCCCTGGAGGGCGAAGTCGAGGGAAAAACGCGCGAAGTCGACGGAAAAACGCCAGCACGGAGAAAATCTTATCGTCGGGGATGTGGGCCCAAGAGCCGCGAGAGCTTCCGAGGAGCCCCGAAGCCCGGGAGGGCCCGTCGCGGCGGCACGGCGCCGGCGCCGCCCACAGGTCATGGTCGGCGGCGCGCCGAGGGGGAGTGTTTCAGTGAGGTGCTCGAACTGTGCGCCTCGAGCATCGGTGTTCGAGGATTTCTGGCCCTCGGGGTCCTCTTCTAAGTCACGGCTGGACGCGACTCGAAAAAATGGTGCGTTTGGACCCGGGAGGGGTCCGAAGGCTTCCTTCGGACCGGATCTGGGTTTAGGGGAACGGCGAGGGGGAAGACAGCAGCCTGTCCGTTGCCTCGAGAATCGGTGTTCGAGGCTTTCTGGCCCTCGGGGTCCTCCTCTAAGCCACGGCTGGACGCGACTCGAAAAAGTTGTGCGTTTGGACCCGGGAGGGGTCCGAAGGCTTCCTTCGGAAAGGATTTAGGGGGGGTTAGGGGTACGGCGGGGGGGAAGACAGCAGCCTGTCCGTTGTGCCATCACTGTTGTGGGAGGGCGGGTGGGAATGGGCATGCCATGCTTGACTCGCTCGAGCTGGCTAGCTTGACCAACTCCCTATACCCCTACCTGCCACCCTTACCCACCCCTCTCCCCCCCTGCCACCCTTACCCACCCACCCCCTTACCCACCCCCTATACCCCTTCGAAAGGGCAGCTTCGTGCCCTGGAGAAGGCCGTCCCCACCAATACCTCCACATTCCCCCAGAGGTGGTCTCCCAAGAATGTGCAGAGACCTACGCCGTGCGGCGATGCCCTGGGCCATAGCCACCCCGCTCGGTGGCTTCCCGCTGGGCCCGTGGCCAACCAACGCGGGGCCCGGGCTCGCCTCGGGGATCGCCTTGATTGCCGACTCGTAGTCCACGAAGTCCTCCTCCTGGCACGGGGCGTGGAGGGAAGGCCGTACGGAGCCCCGTCTCACCAACAAGCTGAGATCTCGCGCCCACGCCCACGCCCACGCCCACGCCACACCTTCCTGGGAGACCCGCCCGCGCACACACACACACACAAACTGAACCAGGCACTGACACAGACATATGCACACGCACAGACACACACACACAGCCACAGACACTCACACACACTCAGACACACACACACACAAAGACACACACACAGACACACACACACACAGAGACACACACACACACAGACACGCACACACAGACACACATAGGCACAGACGCACACCGACAAACACAGACACAAACTTACACAGAAAAGCACACACACACACACGCAGACACACACACACACACACAGACACACACAGACAACACAAACAGACACACACACACAGACACACAGACACACACACACAGAGAGACACAGACACACGGCCACACACACAGACAAGCACACACAGACGCACACACAGACGAACACAAACACAGACACACACAAACACAGACACACACACACACACACACACACAAACACACACACACACACACACACCGACACACACCGACACAGGCACAAACATATGCACACGCACGCACGCACGCACGCACGCACGCACGCACGCACGCACGCACACACACACACCCACACACACACACACACACACACGCACACACACACACACACACACACACACACACACACACACGCACACGCACACGCACACGCACACGCACACGCACACGCACACGCACACGCACTCGCGTCCCTCTGGATTAGCTGGCGGCCTCTCCTCAGCCCGCTGCGCGACCACTCGACGGGCTGGGCCAGCCGCGCGCCCTTCCGAGCCTCGAGAGCCGCACGGCCGCTCGGGACACGCCCGCGCGCCCCCCCGCCCTCCCCCCCCCCTGCTCGCTCCCGGGCACTGCCTGCCCGGCTTCTCCGCTCCCCTGCCCTCCCCTCCTTCCACTCCCGCCCTCCCCTCCACGACGACTCCACTCCCCTCCACTCCCCTCCACGACGACTCCACTCCCCTCCCCTCCCCTCCCTCGGCTCCCCTCCCCTCCCCTCCCGTGCCCTCCCCGCCCTCCACTCCCCTGCCTGATCGCCTCTCCCTGGAGAGAACACGGAGCGGCGCCGGTGCCGCCGCTCCCAGGGCCTCTACCCGGGCGCGTTCTGGCGAGGGCTCCGAGGCGAATCCGTCGGGTGCGACGAACGACGGGCGGGCACCGGCGCATCGGCATTCTGCCCTCCTCCGATCTCCGCCTCGAGCCGTCCTTTCGTCCTGGCTGCCACCGCCCTCCAGCGGCCGCCGTCCTTTCGCCCTGGCTGCTGCCGCCGTCTTGTCGTCCGGTCGTCCTCTCCGTCCTCGAGCCGCCGCGGGGCAGCTCCTGGATGCCGCTGCCTTCCATGGCCGCCGCGGGCGAAGCGGCGAACGCCGCATGCGCCAGGCCGACGCCCTCCTCGCGCTTCGCGCCAGGGGGCGACGTGGGGTCCTCGCCGCTGCCATCGAGCCAACCGGCAGGGAGGGGTCGGCAGGAGGAGGAGGAGGCGGAGGAGGGGGAGTCGGAGGAGGTGGAGGGGGCGGAGGAGGAGGAGGCGGAGGAGGAGGACTCTGTATCGCCCGCCTGGGTCCACCTCCGTGGGTCGGCCTTGGGGAGACACCCGCCCGAGCCGAGCTGATGTCAGGCTGGAGGCCCAGCTAGAATGAGAGAGGCGAGCCTGCGCCAGTCACCTAATATACGCTGAGTGGACCGTATCCAACATGCAAGGGGAAGAAGCCTCCACCACTACCATGTACTGGGGCTGCAGGGGCAGAACGATGCCCTTCCAAAGCAATCCTGGCTGAGGAAGCGCACGCCAAACGCGAGAGGCCGGCTGCCCCGCGGACGGTGCCAGATTGCCTGGAGACGCTTGAGCATGTTGTGCTTGTTGCTCAGCGCTCGGTTGCGACGCGAAAACCGTTGTTAGGGGGAAAACAAACCTACTTCGCTTTTGACCACCCTCGCTTCCAAGAGATACCAAACGATGCCAAAGTACGGCCTGTACTGGTCAGGCCGCTTGACGAGGAGACGCGTGGTATGACTTGGTTTTGCCTGGAAGCGAAAGCGGGGTAGGTAATTCACGCTCTGAGTGGTAGCAGCACGCCCGTGGGCCGCGCACGCCGAACATGAGAGTCCCGATGTGCGCAAGGAAACGCCGGGCGCCCTGGCCGCCGAGCCCCACGCAGCACAGGGCGACGGTCCGCCACGCGAGGAGTTCGCTCCAGCACCAGAGAACGACCCCCATCCCGACCAGCCATAACTGGGGGAGCTGTGGTCCTTACCCCCCTGGGGGAACCCATCGCCTCGACGAGCTCTCGAGAGGGGTGTCGAAATCGATGGGTCCCCCAGGGGGGTAAGGACCACAGCTCCCCCAGTTGTGGCTCGCCTGCCATCGGAGCCATCTGGCCCCACTGGTCCACGTGCCACCATTCTCGTGGGCACACGGGCTCACGCGGCCACTCCCAGTGGCCGCGCTCGCCCACGCTGCAGCTGATGAGGCTGTGGCGAGTAGTGGCGTCTTCGGCTTCCATGGTGGTGTGGGTTGGCGTGCCGGCGGTGCTGGTGGTGTGTGACGTGTGCTTTCGGGTAGTCTTGGTCTGAAGAAGTCGATGTGAGGTATGAACTGGTGTGGAGGTGGCGGCAGGGTGTCCTGAGCAATACTTGCGTAGCCTGTCCTGGTAGTCGTAACATATTTGCTCCGTGTGCGGTCGCTGCTCAAACTGCTGCTGTATCCAGTCATATTGCATGTTGTCGCGGTCGATGTCAGTCAGTCAGCCAGTCAGGTCTGTAGGCAAAAGTAGTACCCATAGGGTGTGGTATCTGCATCGTAGGCGTGGACTGCATCGACTGGCCAGAGGTGGTCACTGGTCTCTAGTGGTGTTTTGGATATTCATATATATATATATGTATGTATGGATTCACGACTGGTGTAGGTGCGAGCTCCTCGATCGCTGGTGGCCATCTGGGATTGCCTGGGATCCTCCTCCTCCTCCTCCTCCTCCTCCTCCTCTTCCTCCTCTTCCGATTCCTCTTCCGTCCTCCCCCTCTTGGGGCATGACGTCTTACCCGGCCCTTGGTTCCCATGTGTGCTCATCCACATCCCTAATCAAGACAGCTCGTCTGGGCATCGTTTCTGGATGGGCTGCTGGGGTCACGCCCAGCCTCCAGAAGATCGGTCCCTTTCCCAGGCACCTTCCAGGGCCCCTCTTCCATCCCAGGCCGTTGCCTGACGGCCTCGGGGCCGCGGAAGCAAAGCAAGTGCAACACGGCAGCACAACAGAAATTACCTCCGACATGCCCTCTGGACGTCTGCGCCCTCACCTAAAACAGGGCCACGATCGGGATACATCGCTCCAGAGCGTTCCGGCGCGCTCTCAGAGCGTTCCGGAGCGCTCTGGCGCGGCCGCGGCGCCCAAGACATCCTCCCAACCCGCCGAAACTCTCCGAGATTTCGAGTTCTCCCGATCCGATTTTGCCCCGATTTTCGCGCCGTTTTATGGCCCCACCCAGCCAGTCTCTCCAGACGCCTTGGCCTGCAGATCCTGGGTAGGAGGAGGAGGAGGAGGAGGAGGAGGAGGAGGAGGAGGAGGATGGAGCCGCCGGCGCGCGCCCCCCTCGGAGGGGAGCGCGCGCCGGCGGCTCTCGCGCGAGCTCCTTTTGGCAGCATGGGCGCCGCCCCCTCGCCGGCAGCAAAAGGCTATAGCTGCCGGGGGCGGGCGCCGGGGGGGCGGCGCGCGGAGGAAACCTGGCCGGCGCGCCGCAACCCTCTGGCGTTCGGGCGCCCGAAGCGGGTGCGGAGAGAAGGGGTGCAGTGCCCAACGACAACGGAAGAATCCTCCTCCTCCTCCTCCTCCTCCTCCTCCTCCTCCTCCTCCTCCTCCGTACCCATGTCGGGCGTTCGGACGCCCGACATGGGTACGGAGAGAAGGGGTACAGTGCCCAACGACAAATTGAAGGGGAACTGGGACACACGAGTGGATACACACAAGTTTATAAAAACATCCCCCACATATTTTCCCATAGGTTCTGGACTTCTGTCGTCCCCCCCACTTCCCATATCTTCGCATATTTTCTGGGAGTCGACGATTAATTGTGTCTGTGTTTTTTCCTCTCCTGGAAGAATGGGTACAGTGCCCAACGACAAATGCTGTCCCAAGCCAACAGCGGCCGCTGTTGGGCGGGCGGCTTCTTGTCTCGAGTGGACACAGGCCGCGGCGGCCTGGACGCGGCGAGTCCTGTTCAAAAGGAGCAGGAACTGCTGTTCGGCATCGTACAGTCGGGGCCCTGAAGAAAGAACCCTTTTCGTTGGGGAGGGGCTCCGTGTTCCTTGATTGTTTCGCATCTTGCCTTAGATTTTCCTTAGGCTTTCGATGCGAAATCGAAGCTCAACTCATGGAAAATAGGGGCCTCGTTCCTTATTTAGGGCTCCTGAGGTCAACGCCTCGACTGTACCCACTCTTTCCGTACCCATGTCGGGCGCCCAGAACTGGCACCCGGGGGTCGCCAGAGGTGCCCCAGGGCCCGGCGGCCGGAGAGGGGCGCGTCCCCGGCTCCTCGGCCCCGTCTCCGGAGCGCCGCGCGAGGGGTGCTCTCCGAGGGCCGTGGTCGCATGCCTCTGGTCGGGAGCGGCCAAGAGGGGGGGGTCCAAGAGGGGGGTGGTGCAAATCATGACCGGCGGCATGTGCGCGGCCCAGCGGGGGGGCCAGGGACGTAATGAAATAAGAAGAGGCGCCTTGAAACCTGGGGAGATATCATGGCCCCCGCCATGAAATCCACCCCCCCCTAGTCAGCACCCCCCTCTTTCCGTCCCCGATCTGGACAGCTCGGGGGGGGGCACCCTGGGCAGGATCGGCCAGCATCGGCTCGGCAAGTCGGAGCAGGTGGAACTGCGCAGCTGTTCGGGCTGCAACGGCACGGGATCGAAATCGAATCGGGTCGGCGGCGCCAGAAGGCACAGCAACGCCATGCGAGCATCGGGCCGCACAGGATCGTCGGAAGCTCGGGAGCGGATCGGGCCGACACGGCCGAAGCCGACTGGCCAGGCCCTGCTGGGCCAGGGGCACCTGTGGCAACACCAGAGCTGGAGCTCTCCCAACCGCGCGTCCCCAACCCCTGCCTCCGGGCGCTTGGGGGGGGGGGGGGCGGCCCAGCTTCCCCGCAAAGGGAGCGAGCCAGGAAGGAAGTGCGCGGAAGACCCGCAGGGCAGCCGCAGCAGGTCCTGCAGGCCGTGCGAGCACCGCCGACCTGCGAGAAGCCTGACAGTTGGTCTCCGACTGGAGGGGAAACGATCAGGGGGTCCAGCTCGGGGGGAGGATATCGGGCTGGAGTCAGCGATACGTCGCCGATGGATCGGCGATAGGCCCCCGATGGCGAGTCTCCACGTTCCTGGGCGGGATGGGGCCATCAGAATCGTATCGGCGATGAATGGGCGATTGGGGGTCGATGCATCCGCGCCTGAGCCTATCCCCCCTATCGTCGCCCCTGACTGCTGGAGGACCCAGACAGTGAAACAAGCCCCAGTCGCACAGCACTGGAGCGCCATCGCGCTGGCAGCTTAGGCGCATCACAACAGTCCACACAGCGATGTCGACTGAGCAGGTCACCGCTTCACCTCCGCACGCCAATTCAGGAAGACAACATGCACTGTACCATCCCTTCCTGTCCACGACCTGCGCCCCGAGACAACTGGCTCTGCTAGCTTTCGCACTTCAGCGAGCAGTATGGTGGGCGATCCGATGATTGGGTACATCTGGTGATCCAACACGACAATACGATCTGGTCATGACGGAAACAGATCACGAATCTGGGCGCTAATATTCTGCCTGTCATCGGTCTGGGCTTTGGACATAGACAGTTGCCACACGTCTCACGGCCAATCAACCCTGCCTGAGGTCAGACATGGGGGGAGCCATCACCAGCATGCAGGCGTCCGAATATAAGGATACGCCGAAGGAGGAACGAACTACCGGAAGGAGGAGAACGAGGGAGCACACATCGACACCTGTCAACGAAAATGGCCTGCGCCCGGAAAGGATGCCGGACGCAGGCTGCATATCATGCCATGGCCAGGTATCAACACCTGACGCCTCTAATGTAGAACGACTGTCAGTGCAAACGCAGTTGCTGCTGACCCCACGACTTTACTACTACTGCAACAGCCTCCTCCCAAACGGACCTAAAGGCTGCCGAGAGGGCCTCAAGAGGCCCCAGGGAAGCTCCTCCATGAGCTCCTCCTCGCGCTCATAACTCAACCTCCTTCGCGCTGCGCCGCTGCGCTGGCGCGGTGGTGGCGTTTTCTGCAGGCAGAAGAATCATACAACCTATATGTATGCGTGTGTGGGTAGGCGCATGCACGCTAAGAAACATGAACTTATGAACTCTGTTCAGTATGCAAAATGCTCCCCTCGTCCCCCTCCTCCGCCTCCTCCTCCTCATCATCATCACCACCACCACCACCACCACCACCACCATCATCATCATCATCATCATCATCATCAGCATTAGCATCATCATCATCATCATCATCATCATCATCATCCTCATCCTCATCCTCATCATCATCATCATCATCATCATCATCATCATCATCATCATCATCATCATCATCATCATCATCATCATCATCATCATCATCATCATCATCATCATCATCATCATCATCATCATCATCATCATCATCATCATCATCATCATCATCATCATCATCATCATCATCATCATCTTCCGCATCATCATCATCATCACCATCATCATCATCATCATCAGCATCGTCAGCATCATCATCATCATCCTCATCATCATCGACATCAGCATCAGCATCATCATCCTCATCCGCATCATCATCACCACCACCATCATCATCATCATCATCAGCATCATCACCATCATCGTCATCATCATCAGCATCATCATCATCGCCATCACCATCATCTTCATCACCATCAGCATCATCTTCATCTTCACCATCATCACCATCATCATCATCATCATCATCAGCATCATCATCATCATCGTCATCATCATCATCCTTCCTAGTATCATTATTCTTATGAATATTATGCTTATTACGATTATCAATACGATTATTGGTATTCTGAATATTCGTCTTCCTCTTCCTCGGGGTTGCTTAGCAGCGAGGCCGTCGCCGCGTCCAGCGACGGACCCGCGGAGCTGAAAAGCCCCCAGCCCGGGTGCCGAGTGGTGCGTGAGGGTGCTGTCCGAGTCCGAGCCGTGGCGTGGGCCCCTCCACGGAGGAAGGCGCCCCTAGGGGGCCACATGCGAACCCTACCCCTACCCCCTACGATTTTTGAGGGGGAGGGTGGGGGTCACGTCGCTCGGGAGGTCCCGAACGAGGTGAACCCCACCCTCCCCCTCAGAAATCGTGGGGGGTAGGGGCAGGGTTCGCATGTGGCCCCAGGGCCCCCTCCCCCTCCCCCAGAAGCAGCGGCCAGCAGCAACCGCCGGCGCGCCGACCGCAGGGGCTGGCTGGCCACGTGCCGCCAGGCGGGAGCTGGATTGGGCACCACTGTTCCAACGGCCCTCGCGGGGTCGCCCGTGGACGGAGATCTACGAGAAGGCGTGGTGCCCAAGTGGAGGGCCGACACAGTAGGCAGTGGCAGCCTGAGGGTCTGCGGCCACCCAGCGAGACGTGGATGAGGAAGGTAGAGCCCGAGATCAGCCAGAGCGCTGGGCTCAAGGCGTGCGACAAGGACGGACAGCAAAAGCGGGGCATGCGAAAAGCTGGAGGCCAAGCTGCAGCCCGAGGTGAAGATGGAACCCGAGGTCGACAGCTATGGTGCTGGGGTCAAGGCGTGCGAGAGGGACGAACGGCGGCACACGACCCTGGCACCTCGCGAGAAGCTGGAGGCGAAGCTCAATCCAGAGGTCATAAGCAGGTGCTGGGATCAAGGTGTGCGAGACGGACGGGCAGCTGTCAATCGACTCTTTTTGTTTCCCAGCGCAGTCGCGCGAGCAAGGCAAGTGGGGCGTGCAGTTTGCGCCCCCACTGGGAGGCCGCTCGGGCAGGCCAGCGCCGACTCGGGGAACGCCGTGAGCCGCAGGGAGAGCCGGGCACCGGCGCAATGACACCGGCATGTCAGGAACGAGGCAGACCTCTAGGAGTTACCCGAGAAAACACGATGGTGAGCGTTTTCTGATTCGGCGCTTCGGCATTGGGCGGAGAAGGGGAAGGGGGGAGGGGGGGGGTCTGGCTCTGGACCTCTGCTTCATGCGAATGTCTGCAGCAGCGCGTCCTGCGGGGGAAGCTCCACCTGCCCGAGACAGTCGGGCGTTGGCGGAACTGGGTGTGGTGGGATCTGGCTCAGTGCTGCGTACTGGAGGACGCCCCCCCCGCCCCGTTCCACGAACCGGAACTGCCGTCACCCGAAGAAAGCACCAGCTACGGCAGACCTGGTCTAGTGATGCTGGCCAATGCAAAGGCTCCGGGGCCCTTGCGATGCAAAGGCTCCGGGGCCCTTGCGCTGACCGGGTCCCCTTACCCGGGGCCCTGGCTGTACCCGAGACGGGCGCCAGAAGCAGCCGAGATCTACTCCGTGGAGGAAGGGGGGGGTGCGAGGCCCCGCGCCGATCGGCAGAGCACGGAATCAAAAACACGATCCCATGTCCCGACCTGCCTTCATCCAGGCGAGCGGTCTGGCGCGCGGCGTCGGCGGCAGCTGCGCTGCCGGCGTCCTTGGCGCCCTCGTCCCCCGCGGAGGGGTTTTACCAGCCTCGAACGTATCCCTATCCCTAAGATTGGCACGCCAAAAGGCGATGACAATCTTAGGGATTCGCCCTCAAAAAAAAAGGGAATCCCTAAGATTGGCATCGTGACGAGGAGGTGCCCAGCATAGGGATAGGGATATGTTCCAGGCTGGTAAGGGTTGGTCCTGGGCTGGGAGAGCACGAGGGCTGGGGCGAATTCCGCAGGTCCGCCTCGCGCTGCGTGTCAAGGCGGAACTGAACTAGGCCCGTCCCAAGACCCCCGCATTGAAGAGCCGGGTGGAGGTCGCCGAAGATCAATATGGCCCAACCCACGATCCCTCCAGACATGGAGGGACCAGCGTGGATGGGGAGGAGAACATAGGAGCCCGACATCGGCTGCAGTGCCGAAATGCGGGCGCGTGAAAAGGGGCAGGCGAGGCTAGAGACCGATGGCGTGAAGCAGGAGGCTTCGACGCCTCTCTGCGAAAGTGGGAGGCGAAGCTGGAGCCATATCGGCCCTCAGCGAGCAGCGGAAGGCGACGATGACGCCCGACACCAGCTAGAGCGTGACTATGCTGTATTGGGAGAGGCGAAGCTAGAGCCCGATGCCATCAGCTACAACGCTGGGGCATCGTGCCAAAGACGTGCGAGCAAGCTGCAACGGCAGAGGCGAAGCTGGAGCCCTAAGAAATGCAAGCAAGCGCTCAGCGCTCAGCCTGGCAAGATACGTGTGGGACAGCTCGTGCGGGGATGGCAAAGACGTGGCTGGCCATGTGCATGTCCACGCAAATGCAACCCCCGAATGACTGCGACAAGGCTGCATCGGGAGAGGAGAAACTAGATTCTAACGCTGTCGGCTACGACGCTGGGAGCTGCGAGAGAGTGACGTGTGAGAGAAGTCAGAAGCGGCAGAGGTGAAGCGCGAGCCCAACGAAGTCCTCTGGGAAGCGGCCGATTGACCGATGCGTTGCCATTGCCAAATGAAGATCAATAAAAATTGGAAACTGCCTTCTGGAGGTCCCGACGCGCGCGCTGCCCGTGGTCCGCGTGCCGCGGCGGCGCAATTCCACCGACAGGGCTTCCGCAACTCGTCATGCGACCCCCCAAAAGGTGTCGAGCCACGAGAAGATGCTATAGAAGGTCCATCCATACGCCCAGCGAGAAACCCTGCCGGGCTCGAGCGGAAGGGCCTCACGTGGCCCCTCTGGCCAGACGGCGGCGAAGGTGGCCCTGAGGACCGCGCGGGGACCGCGAGCGAGCACCCGAGCAAAGCGAGTGCTCTCGGAGCGACGGGCGGAGGTCGCAACCGTGTGGGTACGCTCGCACATGGAGAGGAGGAGGAGGAGGAGGAGGAGGAGGAGGAGGAGGAGGCCTAGGAGATGAGGAGGAGGAGGAGGAGAAGGGGGAGGGAGGGGGGGGGGGGGGGGAGGAGGAGGAGGAGGAGGAGGAGGAGGAGGAGGAGGAGGAGGAGGAGGAGGAGGAGGAGGAGGAGGAGGAGGAGGAGGAGGAGGAGGAGGAGGAGGAGGAGGAAGAGCAGCGAGCCGGCGAGAAGTGCACCGCGCGGAGCGGGAGGCGAGCCCGCCGCGCGACGCCGACGCGGCCGCCGCCGGCGGCGCCGCGCTCGAGAGGACAGAGGCCATCTGGGGGTCCCGGCTCCGAGCGCGGCGGTGCGGCAAACCTCTCGCCCACGACGTCAGATGTGAGATTCCTGTAGGAATCCGCCCTCCGCTTCTCCTCTGCCATTCCCCTTCCCCCCCCGCCCACCCTTCCCCACTCTTCCCTCCTCCTCCTCGCCATGCTCCCCCCCCCGCGTTCATCTCCTGCAAAGATCGCCCACGCGAAATGGCGTCGAAGAGGGAACACGGAACGAGACCCGACGATTGAAGCGAACGTGTAAAACGAAACGCG